ATAATCGATGACTAATCGATTAATAAAATAATCGATGACTAATTTAATAATCGATTAATCGTTTTCTTTTTGTTGTTGTTCTTTACTTTGTTTTTTTCTCCAAACATCTTTGACACCTTCCACTGCCACGTCTGCCTTTCTGTCGTTGACACACATGCACAGTAGTGGTATTAGACACTGTACAGACAGGCTGTGGTATCATGGCTACCTGACAACAGAGCTCAACGTGTGGTTAGGTTAGACAGTAATCATACATTTAGGTCCGATCATGAAGGGTTGAGAAGAGATCACTATCTGGTCTATCATTAGGTGTTAATAAAACTTAAAGGACGACTCACCTTACACACCAGTCAACTCAACTACGCTACAAAACTACTTCCTCACAGTCTTTTCACAATAGAAGCACGTTAAAGTCTCCGTGCAGTAACGTCTCCATTATAACGTAACACGTTAAATCTAACCGTGCATGTCACAGAAGAGGTGTTTACTATTCAGCGATGGTGAAAACGGGATGTTTTTTTAAACGTCAGATCATATAAGCAGCTGAAACACACCACCCACCAACAGTTGTTCCAACAATAACGTTAGCATGCTAACACACTTAGCGGTGCTACGAGGAAACGTGTCCCCAGGGAAACAGTTCACTGTCGGCCGCGACTAAACGTTCCGTACGTGTTCAGGTTATTTACACCTGTATTCAGAGAAGTCACATCATAACAAAAATAAAAACCAGTTTTTGGTACAAAACGGTATACCACCCAGCACTACGATTAGTCAACTAATCAAAAAACTAATCTGTGGTTAATAAATTATAAAAACAATCATTTGTCACAGCGCTAGTCTGCACACAGGTCCACTCACCTTGTACACCTGACCGTAGGTTCCATTACCCACCACCTCCACCAGTTCAAAGATCCCAGCTGGGTCCTGGAGACAGAGACAGGAGACAGCACTGAGTCAGGACAAACACAACCCTTATTTATTTAATTATTTATTTATTTATTTATTTTTTTTTTCTTTAATGAAACGTTTCGTCTCTCCTCCAACAGACTTCTTCAGTCTGAGAGTTTCAGGCTAAATTCAGGCTTTTAAGCCCTGCCTCCATGTGACTGATACTCACATCACATGGCTATCGTTGACACCTAATTAACACCTATGGGGTGGAGGGATACTGGCGATAGCAGCGCTGTAGGAGGGGGACAACTGAAAGCGGAGGCCTCCACCTCTGTTTAATGATGGACGGTCTTTCTTCACAAAAATGTCTTCTTTTACTCCTCTGAGTAACCCTAACCTGAGAACATCCTCATCTCTGATAAAAAACCTGAATTTAGCCTGAAACTCTCAGACTGAAGAAGTCTGTTGGAGGAGAGATGAACCCGTCCAGAAGACCTATACTATTTTTTTCCTTTTCTTTCTTTCTTTCTTTCTTTCTTTCTTTCTTTCTTTCTTTCTTTCTTTCTTTCTTTCTTTCTTTC